TATTCATATGGTACATTTCTGGTATTTATACGCATATCTCTCAAAGACTGTCTGACTTCGAAAAAGAAAATAAAAATGCGTGGGAGCGAGAATGACCCATTTAAAATTCAGAGTGGCCCATTTAGAAATTAAGATGCCGCATATCAAGTCAAAATTGATACCACATAATACCAAATTTATCATCGTTGCATATGAAGTTTCATTTTTAAAAATATTTGTACACTTAACCATTATCCTCTGAGTGCTCCATAAGTTCTATACTGCCAAATTTATATCCTTAGATAGAAAATTGCTTCCTTCAAGATGCTAATTAGTCGATAACGTCAGCATTTCTCGTTAATAACGTGGACCCATAAAGTTCACTGAAGCCAGCAAAATGTGGTAAGATGTCAATTAATTTCTCGACAACCTTCGCATTTCGCATCGCATGGAGCTGGCAAATATCCCAGATTCACACAATAATTTTGTGAGAACGTTCAGAAGCGATTAAAAGGCTTTTAGTTTCCAATGGCTGTAATGAGGGGGTGTAGTTGCACTTGCACTTCCACTGCCAGTTGCCTCTGCTGTTTGCTGGCTGGCCGCAAAAGCCGCCACCGCATACCAGGCAAAGTGCAGTCGTCCGCCCTCCCCATTCCCCTCCCAACCGATGATGCCACCTCTCTGAACTCTGCGCTTGCATTAAGTGGCGGTTGGCAAAGTTGTCGACGTTGTGGAACTTAAACAATGCACAAGGCAGGCGACTGCATACAGGAGCCGCCTCTCCATTTTCACCAGGTGCAAGTTGCACCACTGCACCACCCACACAACCATAAGTTGCTCAGGATTCGGTTGGAGGTGAGAGGAGCGGTAGCAGGAGCCGGAGTCCTGGTCATGGAGACTGGGGATTGCCAGCTGTTCTTATGCCTTAAGGACATTAACCTAATCAACGCTCGGTGCAAGGCTCACACTCACACACACACACGATCCGGCTGAATGGGTTGCATAACGAGGGCGGTCTGTTGACACTGGAGGAACATGTGGGAAAACGAGGGGAGTCGGTGGAAAGTGCAAGCGAACCAAGTCGAGTTAAGTTGAGCTGAGGGTATTGACTGCCTGCCCCTGCGAGTTATTGTTTAATGTTTGGGCCGTGATTCCGAACGAGTTGCGAGCTTGTAAGCCAAATGGGCGGAGAACTCTTGCACAGAAAAAAATTAACTATCAAATGCGAAAGAATTTTATTACGAAAAAACCTTATCCAAACAGAAATAAATGTTTAATAGTCAAAATAAGAGTCTAACAGTATGCAGTGAATAAAGGTTAGTCGTTTTCCCATATGAATTCATATCACTTTTGGGCTCAAAATATATTGCTGCGTACTTTTAGTCACCTATTAAGATAAATCAGAAAACCAGCTGTTCTGGGTTCCTCAAAATTAATAATCGAAATCTTGAAATCTAGTGCTCATTCTCAGTGCTACAGTCATGCGAAAAAGTAAATACTTGGAAATGCAAATAGGCTTATGCAATGAGAGCAAGACTTAATTAGAAGGGCAATGCTGCCTACGCCAATAGTACAACCAATGCTTACCTAAGGCAAACTTTTTCCCTTTCAATTATCAAACTGGACGATTGGCGCTTACAAAAAATAATATTATTAAAGACAACGCAAACACGATGATTCGAGTGCATTAAATTAATGTTGATGTAGGGAGAAAAAAAGCTGTAGTGCCACAAAATGAAACTCAACTCGATGTCATTTGCATGTTTGCCTGGACAAACGTGAAAAAACGTAAGGGAGCGGGCGGAAAAAGTGGGAAATCGATGAAATTTTTGCCAGTTAAATGTGACAGGCAGCCACGACCCACGACTCCTCCGATATGGCAGTATAATCGGCCTGACATATATATACGTGTGCATATAGATGCACGTACGAACGCGTAATTATGTCAGCGCTTGATTGTCCGTTCCGCCCTTAGGCGCGTAGCTCCATCGTTTTGTCAGTCCATAAAAGTACATGGCTTTTTCTTTTTTGCATATTGATAAGGCCGCACGTAATGCTCCATTGAACTGCCATAATTGTCATGTGTGCGAAGGCCTGGAAAGCGGGGCGATTTTTACACAAAATTATTTGCAATTATTGCGTAAAACTGCCTGATTTATGAGGGCAATCGAAAACCAATATTATTCCGCAAAATGTTTGAAAAACAATGCAATTAAGCGGCCGACATTGCCTCAAGGCAGGCAATTAATTTATGGCTGCATTTTTAAGTACGATACGTGGCGCAGGCTTTTTCCACTAATAAGGGAGAATAGATAAATTGGAGCAAAAAAATGAATGTAAATAACATACCAAATTTATGCAAATAAATGAGGGATAAAATGGATTTCATCTTTTTTAATGGGTGTGTTATTAAAATAATGGATAAATGCCACGGAAAGCACTTTAAAATTTCAAAGTAGGTGTCTAAAAGTATGCAACAATATATTTTTAATCCAAAAGTGATTTGAGTTCCTACAGGACGACGACTATCCGTTATTCACTGCATACTTTTAGGCACATATTTTGACACTTAAGAGTGAATTTTGGTGATTTTGGTACCCTACATAGATAAGATCTAATTATTATTAGGCCGAAAAACACTGATCTATTCCTTTTATTACTCTGATGCAATATTAAGCAAATAAAAGTCGCCCAACTCCTCGGGGGGCTAATGAGCTGAGTGTGGAAGGCACGTTTGATTGTTGTCAAGCACCGGCGTTTTATCAACTGTCAAACAACCCACTCCAAGTGCTCCAGAACACCCGATCCCGCCCAGAAATTTATGCGGCGCAGCGTATGCCACAGAGAAGCTTGAAGCTCGAGCATGCTCGAGTGTTTGCCCGAGTGTGAGTGCAGGCGTGGGTGTGTAGGTGAGTGGTGTGCGAGTGTGCAGTGTGTGTGGCAGCTTCATTAAATTTGCACGCACAACTCGTGAGCGGCGGGGCGGTGGGAAGTGGGCGGGGCCACCAAGACGAAGCCAGCCAACGTCAGTTCTGTGCAATTTCCAACGCAATCTTCATTTACAACTTAAGTTACAGCACAAACAACTACTACAGCTGCATGCAAACAAATACAAACACACACTCGCCAAAAGTGTAGCCGACTTTTAAGCTGTTGCGAAAACATTTTAGCGCTCGCATGTGTAGGGACATGAATATGTGTCTGTGTGTGTGTGTGCATTACGGGGAGTTACGACTACTACATAACTAACCCCACAAAGGCCCCCCTTAGTTATGCCTATGGGACTCGGGAGTCGCCCGAATAACAGGATATGCCAGGCAGAAATTTATTAGGAGCATTGCACACTTTTGTGCGTTCACTTGAAAAATGACAACTTTAATTTAGCTACAAACACAAAGCCAACAGCCAGCCGAGTAAGAGATGAGTAACGCCCAGCAGACGAGAAAAGGGCTGGAAGACAAAAGCGCCAGCCAGACAATGAGAAGTCCCAGGGCATGGGAATGGGAAGTGGGAATGGAAATGGAAGGGAAGGAAAAGTTGAAAGAGGGCCAACGGAGTGCGAAGAAAGGGCTCAGAGACTATTCCCGGGGCTAGATCTGCTTTTGTCAGCTAGCCACAGACATTGGCTTCGCATTCCGACACGAGGAGAAAAAATCATTCCTTTTCGATAGCCGAAAGCTCTATCTCGTACACAAATTCATTTATTATTGTACAGTTGGCAAATACTCTTACTACTTTTCAATTAAAAACATAAAATTTAAAATTAAAAAAATACGTAACATGTGAAAGCGATAACCAAAAGCATACCGAGTGGGACCATCCAATTATTTGTTAGATTACTGTGCAACTAATCAGAAGCAACTCTGGTTTAATCAGATGCCATAATTGGAATGAGCCTTGTTTAATTACTATTTTGAAATCACTTATTAAGGTGTTCAAAAGAATGCAGTAAGATAAATAACGTCGACCTTAGGATTCAAAATAAACTGTTGCATATTTTTGGGCTTACTTATAAGTGGTTTCCAAACCCAATAAATTATGAAGATTCTATAATATGTAAGTTTAGGTTTATTTAGCTATTTACCCATGAAATGAGCTTTAAGATTTTTGTATTATTTCCAATTGAATGGCAAATTTTCGAGACATTTACTTTCTCAGTGGATCTGATAGCTGCCGGCTACAGTTGACTTTCGGATCGCACAAACCAGGAATGGAAACAGGGAGGACACTCGGTAGTTGTCCTTCGCAGGGAGTTGCCACACCCAAGCCCCTCCTCCCACGCCGCTCGTCTCAGATGAATATTAATTACCATTTGAAAGCTTGTCATACACTTGTGTAAATTTATCAACAACAACAGGAGTGCTGGCAGGAAGACAACAAGAATGCCAGTAGAGCGGGCGGAAAAGCCGGAGCTGGATCTGAAGGAGACAATAAGCAGAGTTGTCAAAGAGCAACAAACGAGGGGCACAGAGTTAGGCATGAAAATAGCTTTGAAAGTGCAGGAGATTAGGCCAGGATTTGCATGCATAGGGAAAACATTTCGTAAGGACGCTCCACATCGTTCGACTCCTTCTTCAGCTTTTCAATCAATTCTGCTGGCTGCCGGCCGTTTGCCTTCTGTAAATTCGAAAATAAATGCATGAGCCCTGAACGCATTCTACATGCAACAAGAACAAGGCAATGTAATTGATACTCCCCCCTTTCAGCATAAGTTGTCCTTGAATCATTTTTCTCCTTATGTCGTTTGGGACCCGAAATTCCAGTGGAGTTGGAAGTGCAACTAAGTACACAGTCACCAAATCCGGATGGGATTCATTTCAATGTTGACAGATAAAAATAGCTCACTAATTGTCATTTTCAAGGAAAAATAGAAAATCGTAGGTTATTTTTAAGTGAAACTAAACATAAATTTTACCACAAAAATATTCGTTTTTTAATTACAACTTTTACTATATTTTTCTGTGTGTCTCCGACTTATCGACCTAATCGGCTTATTCTGTTTGCATGCCTTTCGATTGCAGGTACCACCTACACACAACCACAGAATATCAACGCCAAGTCGGTGCAGAAAACACAGCCCTCCGAGCGTCGGGAAGCCATCAGCAGGAGCAGCAGCAGTCCCAGTTGGCCGAGCAGCATATCAGCCGAGTTGGCCGACAACGATGCAGTTGACCACCGCGGCGGTGGTAAGCCGGCAAAATGCGCCAAAAACTGCCAGAAGGCCAGGGCCAAGTGGGCCAAGTGGCGTGGTGCGCTGAAGCTGAAGCCACATCACCAGGCCCACCGCGCTGCGTTGCACAAGGAGGCCAGGCAAAGGCAGCGCCGCGAAACGGAGGAGGAGGAACTGGACTCCCTGCTCCACGCAGCCAGCTCGACCAGCACCTCCACAGCCGTGGCCACCACAGTGCAGGCCATCAGCACGAGTTCCCTGGCCACCGGCCGCAGTTCTTCGTTCCACAACGAAACCAAGGCCAAGCGGCCGCGGTCCACGCTCCATTTGGCGCCCGAGGACATGCAGCCCAAGCCCAAGGAGCCGGTGATCATCATCGACGATGTGGAGGAGTTCGACAGCGGCACCAGCACCAGCGACTTGATTGCCCGCAAGAGCCGCGAGGAGGCGGAGCAGCAGGAGGAGGAGGACGAGGAGGGTCCGGTAGAGCCCAGGGTCCTGCCCCTGCGGCCAGTGCCGCCCAATCCCTACGAGGCCGAGGAGATGTCCGTCGTCTACGCGGAGCAGCACTCCGAGATCAAGCTGATGTGCGAGGTGGACCTGGACATTGCCACCAGCATGTGGTACAAGAATGGCCAGGTGAGTTGGGCAGTCAGGGTCGCTAAACAGTTTGCCCCTCGGTCCTGCAAAGAGCCTCTCAAGCTGTCAGGAGCCGCCAACTTGGCTGACTTTAATTGCATTCTTAGCCTTCTGCATTCTTTCTTTATTCTTTGTTTGTCTGTCTCTCTGTCTGACTGCTGCTGGCTTTATTCCCATTCTGGCCGAGACGTCTCGAGTGGCAGGGCTTTTGCTCTGTGTCTGACTCCGGTCCTTTGTCGCTTAACTGCCGCATTATGCAAATAGGATAATCGTTATTATTTGATAGTTTCTGATGTCAAAAGCGCCGGGCTCAGAGAGACAGAGAGCTCATCTTTCGAGGGCCGCATTTTTGCTCGATTGCCTCATTATGCAGCAACGAGGGCTTCTAATTACAAGTTTTTACCATGCCATAACGCCCACAAGTTGGCTACAAGCGATGGCTGAACTCGAATTTGCTTAAAAAAAGAAGGGGAAAACCTGAAAACATGAGGTAAAAGTTAAGCCGCCGGCAAAGCCGAAAGTTATTGAGTTGTAATTGCGAACGCAAACAGTTTCAAGCTCCTGGGGCAAAAAAGCTCTCAACGTAATGCAATTATAACAGTTTGCCGAGTGCTAAGAATGTTTTGCATACACTTTTTGCAAACAAATATATGGTCTACGAAGGAGATAATTCCAAAAAGAGGAGGTGGAAATGCCGTAATGCTAATGGAATCCTCAGTAGTTATGGTTGTGAAGTTTACTTTAAAAATTAAAATTATGGTTGGCTGGTAAATTGATTAACAGATTATTACTGGAGTTGATCGAAGGAATTATTTTTTACTCCTTACCAAAAAACCGTGAATTCTTAAGCAATGCTTTTTGAGTATAGACCTATATGAAATCCCAGCAGCTATTCCTCTCAAGAGATCCTCACTTTATGAACCGTTGCAATTTGGCTTTCAAGCCTCAGTTAGTTGGCCAAGTTAGTAGGCCTCCGCATTGGTGCAAATATGTATGTGGGCCCCAACCGAGGAGCCTCTTGTGCAGGTGTAAATACAACAAGCTGGCAGGCCAAGTTGTTGATGGGCAAATAATAGTTGCAACTAACACGGCAACAGCAGCAGCATCAGAGTTGCAGCCGCCAGCAGCAATGGCACTTTGTGTACGTGTCGGAACTATTTGTTGTGGATGTTGTTGATGCTGCCACTGGTGTTGCTGTTGTCTGTGGCAGTTAACTGGCTGTTGCTGTTGCCTTTGCACTTGCAATCTGCAACCTGCAAGCGGCAACTCGACGCGTGGCGGGTGAAAAAGAGTTGCATACTTGTGGGCAAAGCTGGCTAACATTGTTAGAGCCACAAGCTGCGATTGTTTGCCTACTTGTTGTTACTTGCATATGCATATTGGATTCCGCTGGAAGCCGTAGCCAAAGCCACCAAGTTGCCTGTCAGCAATTTGAACCTGGGATTGCTAGAAGCGTTTTGCAGTGTGATTGCATTCGCATTAGCTATTTTATTTGGCGAGAAATGTGTCCAATACTGCGAATCCACGCTTCCAACCAAGCGGGGTGTCTTGTCTCCTGTCGTCTCGCCTTTGTTGTTGGCAATTTGTTGGCTTTATAGTGCCATATTTTTCGCCCGGCGACAATTGCCAGACATAAACCTTAACCCAACGGCAACAGAGTCGTCGGAAATAGGAGTTTTACGGCTGCAGCCGCCTTGTTGCCTTGTTGCACACTTTGTGGCCCTGGCAAGCTTATTTATGGCCCGGCTCTCAGGTTTAAGGTCAACAAACCCGCTTGGCTGGCATAAATCCTATCTAGCTGCGCCCCGATAAGCCGCCATTAGTCAATTAGGCGGGAACTTAAGACGCAGCATTAATGGGCAACTTGCCAGCCCCGAGGCGTCCTAGATGCAAGTGCAGCTAAGAGCGTAAATCACATCAGCCGGGGCAAATTAATCAGTCAGCCTCAGAAGTCCCAAATGAAAATGAGCGACAATGCGGTGCCACTTAGTGGGGAGATGGCAGAGTTGGAAAAGCCGGGAAAGCCGAGCAAGCGCGTCTTAAGTTGCTAACACGCCGCCTGCCCCGTACCTTTGACAAGTTTATTAAGTTAGTTACAATGTCGACGCTGGTCGACGGCTGCTCCTGCCAACTTTGAGTGCTCCGATGGCAAATAAAATCAACGCCAATGCAGCAGGAACAGCAGGAGCAGCAGGAACAGCCGGAGCATCCATCGTATCTCGCATCTCCGTCTGCCATCGCAGCACATTTCCCAGCGGTGCAATTGTATTAGTTGTGTTAAAACAAAAGCCAGCCATGTGTAAGCGCCAAAGAACAGGATGAGGATGGGGATGGGGATGAGGCCGAGGATAAGCGGTGGCATCCTGGAGCGGGAGATAGAACAACAGTAACGAGCAGGCTGCGGCAATTACAACAGTGATGCGGCAACAATGTGAGCAAGAGTGTTGCAGGTTGGGAAGCATTCGAAAAAGCCAAATGTCAGCTAACCTCCTAGTGAATGCCCTTTCTTTCCTAAAGAAGAATAAATTCAGATATAACACAGAACATCCACACACTAAAAAAACACGTTGCGGTTAAATCGAAGTGCGCATGGTTAAATTCTGGCATATTGTTTTTACCGTGCAATACCGATTTCTCTCCCTCGGATATTCCAAATATAGCGAGATAGTGCTTAACGATAAAATTGATCATTATTTCATATCAAGTTTTTTTTTGGTGCGTAAAAGTTGGAACATACTGGAAAAATCCCTACAGCTTGTAAATTAAGCACAATAAAAACATTCAGAAGAAAACCCAACAGTAACATACTGAGAAAGCCACTTTAAAACTTACTGAAAAATCCAAGAAAGTAATACAATTTAAATTAACCAGAATACACAGAAAATGTAATAAAAACTAACAGAAGAAATCTAGAAGAAAGCGGAAATAAATGATACAAAATGAACCCACCAACAGCAAGATGCAGGAGAAACCCCAGAAAAAATATATCAAGTTGTAGCCAAGCGAGGGCTTTAAGAAATATATATATATTTCGTGATTATCCCCAGTTGCTCCATGTGCCCATTGACTTTGGTCCTTGGCATCCCACATTCCTCACCACCCACTCCCTCGTTTTCCCAACTCCGACCCCCGTTTTCCCCTCCAAGCACCATTGCATTGCAACTGCGGCAATGACATGCGACAAGTGTTGCACTGACAGCTTGCAACATGAGCGACTTTTGTTGTACTTTCTAGAGCGTTGCACAATGCATTAGAGTCCCCGAGCGGGAACAACAGCTAAAGGAGTTCATCCCATCCAGGATTCAGGATGCAGGTTCCTGGATTCAGTAGCCTCCCACTTCTAGTGTCTGCTTGTGTGAGTGCCAAGGAATTTATTGTTGAAAATTATCAAGAGGCTAATATATTTGCCGAAAGCAATTTCAAGTTAGTGGCTCGGGGTCGCGGAAGGAGAAGGATGTGGACGTGGATGTGGATGTAGACGGGGATGAGGGGCAGATAGCGCGACAGTCAGTGAGCAATGTTGGCTGACAAGATTTTTGCAATTCCAAGCAAGTGATAGATATAAGTAGCCATTTCTCCCTGCTCCTTGGGCTCCACTCGAAGGAAATAAGCGCCTGTTTGGAATGGTTGATGCTGAAGGAATGCCCTTTCGCTCAGCAGCAGCTTGAAGCTAATTGTCAGCGGGTGTCAATGAAGTGTGCACTCAAAAGTGGCTTTTATTATTTTTCGCATTCGCAGAAAGGAATGCCAATTTAGGGCCAACAAATTAAAACAGAAAATTTATAATATAAATTTGCATTATTATTCATGCAGAAGGGGGAGCAAAAATTAAATGTAAATCGCGAATCGGCGCAAAGTTAGCCAACAATGCAATTAGAGAATTACAAAACCCTCAACTGTCCACTGATAACGTGGCCGCAAATTATGCAAAGTTATGCGTGCTCGCCTTCAAAATATTCAGCAATTTATGCGAATCGAGGCAGCTGACAACACAGATGCCCACACACACTCCATTTCGCCCTTTTGCCGTGGAAAAACAAAACCGTCTGAATTCATAATTACCCGAAAACAGAAACGCAGCCAGAGGATCGCCAACAATGGGCAGGCCCGAAACAATCGAGCGTGTAATCCGGCCGAAACGCTCGATGCTGTAAACAAGGATTTGCCACGCTCATTTAACGCTTTTGTCCGGCGGCCATGTTGCCAAACCAGAAAAATCCAACACGACCAGGTGCCAAAGGCCTGGTCACTGGACGCTGGACGCCAGCCGGAGTGGTAGTGGATGCAGTGGATGCCAAAAAGCCTCGGATCGCCATCGACCTCATAAATTTCCAACTGAATGCCCCGCTGCACAGGCACGCAAAATCCAGTTTCCACTTTGCCAGTCGCCAGTTTGCCATTGCCAGTTTGCCATTGCCAGTTTGCCATTTTGCCAGTTGCCAGTCAAATGCGTCGTTGGTTAATAAATTTTCTGCAAATGGCCGTTGCGGCGACTGCGGCAAATGCGCGCCGGAAGTCGCCTCACGCACACACAGGGGGATTCGGGTATCCCCCCTTTTTGGGAAGTGAAATTCATATACGCATAAATATTTGCACTGCATTTGAAAAATATACACCAAGCGAATCGTAAGCTGTAACAAAAACGGCCAATGGCAAACTCAAACGCACAAACGGAACCGGATGTGCACCATACAAATATTCTGTTTACAGATTTTTTACGGATTTTCTATGCCATTCCTCTTTCAATTTTTTCCCCGGTCAATAGTGCCAGTTTTTGTGCAAGGCTTTATTCTGAAAAAAAATCCCAGCTTGAATTTTCGGTTTCTATTCTTATTTTAAATGCTAATTTACACCAAAAAATGATTTATTTTCAAAAAAAAATTTTAAGCTCACTGAAAGTTTTATTTGTATATGTCTTTTTATGAAACTGTCAATATAATTTATTGGCTGATGGTAAAATAATATATAAGAAAGAAATATACACAAAAATATAAAAAAATTAAAAAAATATACCCACAACAAAGAGTTGATATCAAACGATGATGAATTTGATGTTATATGGTATTAATTTTGACTTGATATCCACGAAATGTAAGCCACAAGCCACTTGGAATTTAAGATGTGTCTTTCTGCGTCCCACTCATGTATTTTTAAGCGCTTTCGCACTCTATTTCGAATTGAGAAAACTAGTTATTTAAGCCACAGAATCTCCGAGAGATACAATAAATTTACCATGCGCATATCGATATGATCCCGGCGTGTTTTTGAGTACAATTGAGTAGCGAGTGGATAGCCTGGCAATTTAATGAGCCTCAGACAGTTCTTTTCACGCGGACCGCCTTAATCCAAGCCCAAAAGTTAATCTCTTTGCCTGCAAATGCAATTAAAATTGTGTTTCATTTATGGCCGCCGCCCGCTGACCGCGCTCTTTTTAGCCCGGCATTTAATTGGCACTTAAACGCATTAAGCGTGCGAAACATTTCCACATGTATTCATATATCTTTTTTGCTTTTGCATTCTTCATAATTTTTATTCGCGCTCTGCGGCTGAAGCATTTGAATGCGCACATAAATTTCCGTTTGCATTAAGCCCGAGGCAGACGGACAGGCAGCGGGATGGCCAACAACTATTGGTAACAGTTTTTAAGCCGCCAGTTCATTGTTGCCACATTACCAGTGGATAACATGTGTGTGGCAATGGGGGTGGTGTTGCATCGTCCTCATTTAATTGTCATTACGGGTATTGTGTTTGTTTGAAACGAAATGTAATAAAATTCCCGCGATGGCTAAGTGTAAATAAATGGATATGAAAACATTAAATGCAATTGTTTCGCCCGCCAAGCGCGATGGGGAGGTGGGTTTTGGGCCGGCGGATTGCATTTAATGGGGGAAATTTATGGGCATTTAATGCGCTGCATTAAAAGTTTCAAAAGGCGCTTTGCATAATTCCGCCAATGACATTAGCCTTAACGCCGCACAAACTTATCCCTGCGATCTCCTCCTTGTCTCTTCCAGGTGGTCCACGCCATGGACCGCACCGCCCGCGTCACCGACTACCGCTTTATTAAGGAGGCTAATGGCGCGCTAACCATCACCAACGTCATGCTCGAGGACGACGGCAAGTGGCAATGCGAAGCGGAGAACACGAGGCGCTACACGGAGAACGCGCGACCCGTCAAGCTGGTCGTCCTCGGTGAGTATCCCCCAGCCCAATCTCTATCCCGATCCCAGTTCTACTCCTTGGGCCAGTCACGACTTGGCCAACAGCTTAGACAAATATTAAGGGGTCTTCGTGTCGTTCCATTTGCCAAATTAGCCGGCAACGAGGCCACGTCGGGAATGGTTTGGCTCTTGGCAAAATGCTCGCTTTTATGGCCAAGCCATCACTGGGAGCAAGGAGCGCTCACGAAATTAAGATAAGGTCATGCTCTCGAAATGGCAAACATCAGGATTCCCTCCTTTTAATCTAACGAAATTTTGTCTTTCGAGGGTACATGACTTAGGCTTCGTTTATTGATTTAAGAATTATTCGTAAGATTTATGCTACATTTTTATCACAAGATGAATTCATAGAATTTATATGTTATGTTTTATGTAAGCCTTAACACTAACCTTTGAATTGAATACCTCAATGACATTTTAGAATTCTTATGTTTGTAGAATTTAAAAACTGTACTAATAAATATTCTATAAATGAAGCTGATCTCTAAATCAATAATAACGAACTGTAACACGTACAATAAAGATTCTATGATCCTTCAGGATATCTTAAAATTATTACTCTATAGAGTCAGTTCAAATAATAAATGTAAATTCATTTAAATCATTAATTACTTATAAAATAATTTTCAAAATATTAAATTAAAACTAACTGCGGCACTAAGACAAAATTAAATACATCACATATTTCTATAATGTTTTTCTTAATAACTATCTTATTATTTAGTGGTATTAAATTAGTTTAATTAATATCCTCTGTTAAATATATAAAATTCTATATCCGAAATTATGTGATAAGAAATGCCATGTATATTAAAGCAAACTGACTAATGATCTTTATTTCCATCCCAATTATAGATCGCCCCAAGCCGCCGTATCTGCTGATCGACTCCCGCCGCCTGGACGCCAGCAACCTGTTCGTACCCGTCAAGGAGAACTCCGAGCTGAACCTGGCCTGCGTGAGCGAGGGCGGCAACCCGCGACCCTCGCTCACCTGGGAGGTCCTGCTCAGTCCCGGCGTCGACCGGCATGCCCAAAAGGTGTCCGCCGAGGTCCTGGAGCTGGAGGAGATCAAGGGCGAGAAGGTAAGCCGGCGGGGTAATGCACCGAGTCCGATGAGTGACAAGTGGCGGTCCCACCTCGACTGGGATTGGTAATGGCTGTCTGCTGGTGGAGTGGAGAAACCACAGCTTCGCCGGCCTGCAAACACATTAGGTGTGGCCAACAGCGGCTGCCGGCACAAACAACGGCTCTTCCGGACGACTGAGTGAGCCCAGTTTGCGGTTGGGCCGAAATTTGTTTGTCTTGCACTCGAGCATAATGAAAAGCAGACATTTCGGTTGAGCAATGCAGCAGTTTAGTCAGCTCGGCGTACGTAACTCCCACTTCCACTTCCACCTCCCCCACTTCCACCTGTCAAACACAGTGAGTGTGTGTGTTTGTGTGTAGATGTTTGTCGCTCGGACCCTAAATGCCACAAATTTGCGTGTTCGGCTGGTCACAAACCCAACCTCATGGCCCCCCGATGATTGATTGAAAACTGTGCCAACAAAATTTCCATGCGGCTCTGGGGGGTGGTGAGTCGAGCACTACTCCATGAGGTGGGCGCCCTTGCCCTTGGACTTTAATTTAAATTAATGATGTCGCGCTGATAACAGGCCTGACTAATTGGCCGCCCGAACAGCCGCCTGTCTGTCATTTGGCCCAATTTGCCAGTGTTTAGCATAAATTTTGAATGCGAATTTTATCAGGCTTACCATCCTCTTCCCCTGCAGGTCGACAAAGACGGCTACAAAATCAACAGTGGCGCGAAGAGCGAGGCCCGATTACCAGCGGTCTACAGGGCCCATCACAACGCTCGGATCCTGTGCGTCATGGAACATCCCACGCTGAAGATTCGCCAAAACGCCTCGCTTCTGCTGGATGTGCAATGTAAGTTTTGGATTGGTATTTAGTATATTAAAGTACATCATTAGTACAGCCTTTTACAATTCCTAAGGATTTCTAACGTTATTTTCCCTTAGTAATTTCTTATTGACATAATTTCTTGCATTTTTTTTAACTTACAACATTTTTGTATACATTAAATAAAAGTTTAATCGAAATATGGTAGAATAGATAAAGATTGTAGTGGTCAACACACAAAAAAAAAACTTGGTAAAATTAACTGTAATAATTGTCAAACAGGCCCCAACCAGCAAAATTGTCAACTCTACTAAGTAAATAGTTATTCCACAACAACAAAATACACACAATTAGCAAAGACACACACCCAAAGCAAAAACAAAATACACGTAACTACTTTAATAGTTACGTAACTATCTTTGTTGGTAAATTTTACCAAGCAAATTTTTTTGTGTGTATGAATTGGCGCTGGAAAATGAAATTTACGAGAATTCGTTTATTAAAAGGAGATTTTTTATCTCTTTATAACGAAAAATCCCACAAGCACTTGTCAAATGCTTCTTCTTAACAAATGCCCATACTTCATATTTTAAAGACCCAATTTAAAAAAAGTTCCAAGACTTTTTAGACCGGAATAACTACACTTATCCCAGAAATAACTAATGCTTCAGTGAGTCATCGTGCTAAGGTCACAAAAACTTTTTAATAAATGCCAAACAGGCCGTAAATCTCCCGTGTTTAATTACCCCAAGGAGGGCAAAAAACGAGAGTGGAATGATGTAAATAAGAGTGAAAACCAAAAGTAAATGTTGATTGAAAAGTTAAATTGCGAAAGTTAACACACGCCACAAGCCGGGACAAGAGCTACGGCCAGAATTTCAAGCTGAGGGCGAGTTGGGCAGAGAATAAAACAACAGGGAAAATTATTATGCACCTGCAGTGAACAAAGTCAACGGAGCAACTGAAAGCAAAGGTGAAATTGTATTAATTGAAACAGCACAAAAAGGGAGCGGGTGAAAAACGAAATCAAATTGCAATGAAACTGGCCGAAGGAGGGCGAAAAAAAAAAAAAAGCGCGACAGTTGAGAAAGGGACGCCTACGTACAATTGAAATGCAGGGAACAAAAGCAGCAGCGAAAAGAAGGGAATTAATGGAAAGTCAGGGCCCCAGAGGATTGCCGGGCTCTCAATTAGCTTAAAAATAAGGAGGTGTCAAAAAAAAAGTGGACGGAAAACAAGAGCTTTAATTTCCATAAAACCCATTAAACTTATTTTACTTGAAGTTCGCAAGAAATAATAATGTAGAGCCAGGAAATATTTCAAGGCAAGTTATGATCCGCTCAGGATATTGATTGGTGACCCCAACATCCTTGAATACAATTTATTACAGAAAATGCTCATGGTGAGCTGGTCGTTCAGGGGTTTATCCCCTAACCCTCTTACCCATCAACCGAATTCCACCTGAGATGATGCCAACCGCTCAACAATAGCATCACTTTAAATGGGACCCTGCCAAGTTCGTGACCAATTGAGGTGGACAATATGCATGCCGGCAGCAGCAGCCACAACAAAACGGGGAAATAAAGATACGAGTCCTGTGGACGCCGCAAAAGTGACGCAACCGGACATGGAATTGGGAATCAATGCCAATGGTCCAATGGCCGGTTGGATGAGTTGGATGAGGCGAAGCGAGGCGACAATTGGAAGACTAGCACTAATTGGCAGCAAAAAGCCGCACACACGTCCTGGCCAGGGTCCTCGCCCTGAGGAGGGTCTCAATCAGCGCAGGATCCGGGGACGGACCACAGTTATTTGCTTTATTAATGTCCGTGAAGCCGCATAATGCCCTGACAAATGCCCAGGTAGTGGAGAGACCATGAAAATGATTGGAAAATATAGAAAAGCCGTGTGGGATTTGCATGGCAGAGAGTCCTTGATGTTTTGCGTGTGTGTTCGTCGGTGTGCGCTTGTGTGTGTTTCTGTGTGTGGGCTTTGGCTTTGGCCAGGCATGAAAATTGCAAAAACCGCAATAACAACAGCACAAGGCCTCAAACAATAATAACGGGAGCAGCAACAAGAACAACCGCAACGTTTTCCGGGTTCAACAAAAGAAGGAACAAGTTCGTCCTGATTCGTCCTGTTTTTCCTTTTATTATTCCCGCTCCCTTTTTTCTAGCGCCTGTATAAATTAAAATGCACACACATGAGAGCATTTGCCCAGGCCATAGACATTGTATCCGCATCCCAGTATTCCTGCATCCCAGTATCCGTATCTGTATCTGTAATGGCTGCTGCTGCGTTTAATTTGCGCATTTTTATGCAGACAGTTGACAGGCAAATCAAGGACATGGGGACAGGGATCACTGCCCGCCCGAAAAATGCTGAACAATTTAAGCTGCAAAAAGCTGAACTCCAAAGGACTCAAGGCAAATATTCAGGTTTCCATTTAAATTAGAGCTTTTTGGGCCAACGTTTTGCTTTTAATTTGAGCAATTTGCGAAGATGCCAAAGTGCATATTTAAAAGAGGGCCAGTAGTAAAAGATTCTTTGCCCGAAAACAATATGCCCAAAGAGTTAAACAATTTCCTAGCCCCCTTTGAGTAAACAAATTGATGGACCACCGGCACATACAGCCCATTCATAAATATGTATGATGTCTGACGACTGACGGCTGTCTGCTGGTCGACACACAATGTTTGTGTATCAAGAGGATCCGAGGCTGAATTGAATAGTTTGGCAAACAACCGACAAACAAATTTCATTTGTCCCTCGGCCCCTGCTGAAACTTTCCGGACGCCTAATCAAATTGTATTAGTTACAAAGGGCCACAAAAGGCGACTGACTGGTGCGCCGAAAAATTGAAAAGATTGAAATGAATGCAAGCCCATTTGGGTAGCATATTTCGGGCAGTCCTGCCAAATGGCCAGCAGTAATTAAAAAACATTTGATTTATGCCTATGAATATGCATTGAATGGGAGTGCACATGTCCGACTGGGCGGGAGCGATCCCATTATTTGCATTTACATTTAGATTTACAATTCGTCGATGGCTTTTTGACATGCACTGAATGGATTTGTGATTGGCAGTTTGGGATTGAAATCGAAGTTGTACTTTGAATCGCATATCGAATTACTTTTGGGCCAACCGTACTGAGTTGTGGCGGCAGAAATAAAGAGCACAGAATCGCCAAATTGGAAATGCTAGTATGAATAGAATGCCGCTAACTAAGTAAAGTCCAGGGGTCAATCTAAATGAAACGCTGAAACAACTGACACGTGGTTCGCTGATAATTGAATGCTGTCAGCTTGAAATTGACATTTAATTAGTCAGCAACTATTTCACAGTCAATTAGGGAAGCCAATTACCAGGGCATTATAGTCTAAACAAATCGAAAAAAGCAAGCATTTAATTGTTTGGTTCTTAGTTTTCTATCACATATTAAAAATATTAATAGAACACAAAAACAAGAAAGAACGCTATCAGAAACCCGTTAGTCAGTTAACAGAAAAGCGAGAGAGATGAAGACATACACACATGCAGTGAGGCTTGCACTGCTTGAATTTCTTTTTTCATTTAATTTGCTCATAACTTTTTAATGAATGATCTGATTTGAAAAAGTCTTCTAAATTTCAATAGGTATTAATAAGGACATCCAAACATAATTTTTACTTCTTCGAAATGTTGTATAACGGGTTTAATAAAACAAAATATGCTATCAGTTATTTTTTGTAATTAACATTTTAAATAAGAAATCCACTCGTAATTTGAATTAACACAACCTTATTTACCTTGCGGCCCAATACTTTGACTCTGATCCCACCGTTTGCATTTAGTTTAATTATAAAAGTTTCTTTTTCTTGCCCTCAGTTCGTTCGCCTTCTTTTGAGTAATTTTTTAATTAAAAAACTATTTTGTTGATGTTGCCACAGTCTAGTCTGTGATAGCGCCAAAAATCTGTGGAAAAGTCAAGCCGAAATAACCATCTGTCCCCGTTGCAGACACGCCCTCCTTCGCCATATCCCGCACACCTGGCTTCGGCTATCCGCTGCGCGAGGGCATCGAAGTCAGCCTCAAGTGCGACGTAGACTCCAATCCCCCGAGCACTCCGCGCTGGCAGAAGGACGACGGTGACACGCCGGTAAGTTTGGGACCATCACAAAAGTGCACGGGAAAAATTCTGCACACTTTTAAGTCTTATTTTAATAAAGGAATAAGATATGTGTATAATTTATTAACACTAATTTATTTAATAAAGCGTAAAATATATTTTATAAGGTTTTATAAAGATATATTTATTGCATTGTAATACTTGTAATTATTATTTAATAAATCAGTTTTAAAAATATTTGTTAAAGAACTTTGTTTTATCACAAAGAGTTTCTGTTTAAATTAATCAAATATTTGTAAGTATTTAAAATTTAAAGTACTTTTCCTTCTCCCAGTATTTACAAATATTTTTTTCCCGTGCTTTGGACTTGCGAAAAACTGGAAAAGTGGGAAATGCGTGCACTCGTAGGCCGCCCATCGGAGTTCGGCCTTTTGTGGTATTTTTGGCTAAGGAGCAAGTTTTAAATGGATTTTCGTGCAGTTGTCGCTACCTGGCGAGGCCGAAACTTGCGCGAAACTATTTGCCTTGCCTTAATTACCAAAAATTGTTTACGCATAACGAGCCAAACTCATTTCCCATTTCGCCGCCAAAGTGATTCGCCAACATTCTGATTTCCCATTTCTCGATTATTGCAGGTGCCGCAAACGGGCGATGGTTTCCTCAACTTCACATCGATAAGGCGCGAGCATTCCGGCTGGTACAAGTGCACGTCCCGGCACCTCAACTTTCAGTACTCGTCGATTGGCTATTACCTCAGCGTGCGATGTGAGTACTCAGACTTCCAACTTTCAGCCAGTAAGGCCGTAAATTAGACCGCGTATGCGTGAAATTGCCTTAAAAATGGCGCGTGATAATATTTTGCCCATTAGTTTGTGCCTGTAAAATTACGTGTAACACCACCCCCTGAAAGCACGCGAAACCCTGTAAAGCCCTCGAAAACCCTCGAAAAAATGAACAAAAATCGGCAAGCATTTTACGACACTCGCACATGGCGCTGTGGACAATATTCGGTGTGATTTTTTCGGGGATGTTCCCGGCACTTTGCGAGGCGCCTTGTGGCGCCACCCTCTGTCATATGCAAAATGTGGCAAATTTCATTGGCATTGGCATTGGCATTGAGTGGGTGTCCCCCCGCTTTTCCTCTACTATTTATGCTTACGCGCCATTTTGCTGTCAATATTTTCTCGTTTGCGGGTTGGGTTTTATATGCTGAGGGGTCTGAGGTATTCGGCACTTTATGCGCTCAACGCGTGTTAATGCTGGTAAATATTTTTATTGAATTTGTGCCTCTGACAGGCGGCCTAAAAGCAGCCATCAAACCGCCGAATCGAATTATATGTCTCGAGAAAACTCATTTGCAGCCTCATTAGGCGGCAAATGCAATTCGAGAAGAGAAAACGAAAAACTGCACTGCCGCTCTAAAAAAATCCATCGTCCTGCCCCCAAACTCGCTCATCAATCATGGCCAAAAAGGAAAAGAGGAATAAAATATTGGTAATAACAACTTGACAAAGTGTTGCCACTTTTTTGTATGATCCCTGCCAGCAGGCCCATCGTCCCTGGGGAGAGATTTTTTCGCCACCCCTGACAGCCGCCTGTCGTTGCTCATTATAGGGAAAACAAATGCTTTATTAATAAAAAAAAGAATAGCAAAGAAAACGAAAAAAATGGGACGAAAAGGCCAAGAAGTGACGGAGTCGGCCGCCCCATCGACATTATCGATGATTGATGGGGGCCGCCGCCAGGAGGAGGAAGAAAAGCAAACTTTTCCTCCGCATTTTCCAGCGAAATCTAATTGTGAGAGACGCTGAGCTGGCAACATGTTAAGCACATAAATCAATTTGTAAAACGTTTTCGTTTTATCGAACTCGAACTCGAACGGATCGCATCGGGGCAAACTGCCGAAATGGCAAATCCAACTGCCGGCAGTCGGCATCTAAACCCCATTTGCGACAACAGGCGTCCTTCCCCCAGCATATATGTGGTACCTATAAGATATGGCAGAAGCACAGACACGACTTGCCTGTCATAAACTATAAAACAGCTGCCCGACCCATGATAAATGGCGGCCGGAGAAGATTTTGAGGGAGAAAGGCACGAAATTTAAGTCGGTTCTGGCGGGGGGTCGAAAAAACTGATAAATCGCATTTAAGTGAGGGGAGCTGTGAAATCTGCTGCTCCAAAATCCCAGACAGACGTTTGAATGCGGGCTTAATTGCTGACGATACACCCAAAAAAAAAATCGACTGAAATCGCCCTTGGTTTTAGAAAATCGCCTATGAATTTGCTTTACTGGCGATTTTGTCTATATTAAAGAAAGTAGGTTTTTAAAATCAAAGACGTTTTTCTAAAAATCAAAAAAAATAGACTTCAATTTAGAAATATTTTGCTAGAAAGTAAAAAATTATTTCTTAGAATTTAGAAATAAAGGTTTTCTAAAAAATAGAAATACGGTTTTTTTTAAATATAGACAAATATTTTTAAATAAAAAAAAAAAATTTCTCAAATTCAGAAAATACAAAAATCTATTTTCGGGCTTCGGAATTATACCCGGTTGTTTCTGTGACGCCACGGCCTTTGTGTTGTTTTTTTTTCGTTCTTGTTTGTCACCTTATTTTAATTTCCTTTAATTGAGCACATGGGTGGTTTCAAATTGGAACTGAAATGAGTGTACAAATTACAAATTATAAATATAAAAACCCAATAACTTACTATTTTGAGAAAAACATCTTGGTCGCCGCACGCGGGATTCGAACCGCTAACCGCTCGCGCCTCACAGTTTGCAGTCAAGCACTCTACTAGCTACGCCACGGAAGCATCACGTGAGGCGCTGTACAAAGTCTATTCACATTTTGTTCTCCTATTTTTACTCAAATTGATCTGGCTTTCTTCTGGTTATTCCTTTTAGTTTATCATTTAATTTTACTTTTAAATATTTATTGATTAATATTAATATTTATATATTTATTATTTATTATGGTTCAATAGTAACAGTAATTGAATGTTTCAAATTTGAAAAACTTAAACAAAATGCAATACATTTTTTTATTAATATGTAACTATTAGTGTTAAAAAAAAAAAAAGACACCACGAGTTTTTCGTCTCGACGTGGGTTTGAACTCACTCTTGCAGCCGCAAGCTTGAATAACATATGCATGCACGCACGCGTTAGACCCCTAGGCTACCAATCCCGGAAATTTTCTTCGATTAATAGCGATTTTTTCTTAGGCTAAAAAAAACTTTTCTAAAAAGTCTATAAGAAAGGAAATCGATCAAATACGGTTAAATTTTTTTATTTTCTAGAAAAATATTTCTTAATATCACACATTTTTTTCAAAATGTTAGAAAAATCTTCAAAAAATTTTTCTGTTATTAGAAAAACAATATTTCTATTATGTAGAAATATTTATAATTTTAATGGCAATTTTTTTTAGTTTTAGAAAAGTTCAGTCTTTTTTTTCTAAAATCAATGGCGATTTTAACCCTCAAAAAAGAAAGGATGATTAGAAAAATAAACCTTATAATTTAGAAAAAATTGATTTTTCTGTATTTCAGAAAATATTTTCTAAAAAACTCGTTCAATTCAGAATTTTTTGAAGATTAGAACATTTTTCTGAAGATTAGAAAATTTTTCCTCTTTATAGAATATTTTTTTGAAGCACAGAAAAATTTTTTTTTCTATATTTAAGAAAAAATAATTTTTTGAGTGTATGTTTCCTCCTCCGAATCCCGCCATTGAGCTGCAGAATGGAGGTGGAGATTCAGAGAGCACAGGTAAGGGAAAACTTTTCTGTCGACAACAACGAGGACACCGCTGACAAACTGCAATGAAAAAGCAATCAGCGATGGCCAGAGAAAAGCTACAGAAACAGCGAAAAAAACGGAATGCGGAGGGCCCGCAAAAGTAGGCAATTTGACGCAGTTGCTCAAAGTTTTCTGCGCCGGTTTGGCCACTTTCGCGTGATTGATTCGCCCGTCTGGAGGCTTCGATGGCCGTGGCTCAGGGCGCAGGACTCAGGTCGCAGGAGTCAGGACGCAGGACACAGGCGAGCTTGTTGAAACGTCGCTAATTTGACACGTACGTCAACAGGAGCGCCGAGCGTGACGTATAGGAGAAGGTGGAAGGGGAGCCAAGGACTCATCCAAGTTCCGCAAGTGGGCCACGTTCAGGTATAACATAAGCCAGGCCCATTGACCAAAGTTCTGTTTGCCAGCCTCATTAATGAGTTAAAGTTCTCATTGGGTCTAATTAATGTTGAGTGGCCTGCACGGCGTTCGCTCGAACAATGCGCAATTAGGGAAAGTTTCCCGAGCCTTATGGCAAAACAAGGCTTCAAAAACGTGAGTATATGGAGTGTGTGGGAGAAAATCAAGAGTTGTTTAAACTACATATTTATTACTTAGACTTTGAGTGTAATCCGATAATATGGCAATAATGGGCATAAATGTAGCAAAATTACCTTTAAACTCTAGTAAAATGTAAGGTGATTGGATTTAAAGTTTTGTATTACATATTTTGAAGTAATTTTAAATTTGACTAAAAATTATCATCCGAGTGTAGAGGCTATAAATATTTTCTGATAAAATCAAATAGCTTAATACGTTTTTAAATCCATTTGTTGATATTAATTTACACTATTCCGTTTTTCATTAGACCTTTTCATCTTGCACACCTATCCAATTTCATCAATTAAAAGGGAAAACCCTTAAGAGCTAACTCCTTAATCGAAGACTTTGATTTTCGTGTGGTTTTGTTTAAGTCACAGAACAAGAGAAATCACCCAACTCGCCCCCAATTCTCAAGAGTCACTTTTGCGGCTAACCAGGCCACCGAAATCCATGTGCAAATTGCATTCGCCTCGCACTGAACTAATTTGCCCAGCCAACTGTCAAGAAAATGCACCACCAGCTCACCACAAGGACTCTGGGACATTGTCAACCACTCCGCCGCCAGGGAAACAAACAGAAGGCCACACATCTTGTGAAACGAGTCCCAGCGGACATACAGGACATTCAGGACATTCGAGCCTTTCCTAACCGAACTGGCGAATTACAATAAAATTTAATTCTCCACGCCGTCGTAAGCATTTCGATTGGGAGCCATTTCTTACGCCGATTGGCAGAGTCCTTGGCGATGTTATCCTTTATCCTTTGTCATGCTGGTTATCGCGGTTTAACTTTATTGTTTTTTCTTCCCCACCCCACCCCTCTAAGAGATGTCCCATGTCCTGCTCCTTGTCCTTTGGCCAACTTGAATTTCTGTGTTTATCGGCGCGCACGATTATTAGTTTTTTGTTTGCTGCCTTTGTTTTTATAGCAGGCGATTATGTTTCGGTATGTGTATGTGTCGAGGGTCCCAGTCCCTCGTCCTTGTGCAAAGATTTTCAATAAAATTTTATTTGCCGTTGCCTCAGATGAAACCGAAACGAAACTCATTTCGACTGGGTCCCTTTTTTCCGGGCAACTTAAGGAAATATTAAAAACTCATTGCGGACAAATGTCTTCGAGTAAAGTATTTTTTATGGCCGCAAACTTTTCTCCTCGCCTCGCTGGCATAAACGTAAATTTTGTCGAGAGATTATCTTTTATGGATGTGGAGCAGAACAGAGTGTCTTCGAAGGCGCCCCACCAATTTGCATCCGCCCTCCCCAAATGAACCTATTATCTTCTGGGATCTCCAGCCAGTGCATCCAGTGCAATCATCTTCAATTTCAACTCATTGCAAATTAATCGCGTGTTCGCTGAAAGTCTTGAAAAATCCTCGGGCTGCAGGGAGAATTAAAATTTATAACCAAGACACAAATGCAATCACAGCAGCCCGAGCTCGCTCTCTGCCGCTTCCGCTGGCTGTTTATGCAGCTTGTAAGTTAAGCTGATTGTATCCTGCGCTGGAGTTGATGATGATGATGCCGCCTCTCGTCGGCCTCCTTCATATTCATGACTAACTACGAAGATGAAGAGCCAGCGGAAAAAATGCAAATTAATCCTGCTGCCGGGTTGGCGGGGGGGGGCTAATGAAAATTGCAGGCGAAAAAAGCAGCTGAAATAGCCCCCCCGTTGGGGAATTTAATTTTTCACCCACAGCACTATGCCAGCGAGAGTGAAACTTTGCAGTTTGTTGAAGGATTTATGGATCATGCCGGCCCGTCATATTCACACCTTGGACAGGGGATAGGATGTGTCGACACATCGATACACTTCGCTCTCTGCGAGGGTTCGGCAGTTCTCATGGGATCCCTGAAAGTGACAGGCGAACACCATCCACCGAACAGCGAAGGTCCTTGAAGGCAAAACGCCAACGTGGCTGATGATGATGCGTTATGATTAATGGATTGGTGGCCAGAAGCGGGCAACTCTTCTCGGTCTTCAGTCTGCCCCAGCATATTGATTCGCCTTGTTTGCATTAGTGTTTGCTGTTTGCCCTTCATATTTGCCATTGTTATGAGTTGGGATTTATTCGAGTGTGCCTCGTCCCACAAAGATATGCTGCAAGAATCACTTTCTCCCTTCGCTCTCGAGGACCTTTGCCTCTCAATCTCCTTCAGTGTCGCCATATGGGCGGTACTCGATGCCCATTTGTTTGCCTTTGTTTATTTGTTTTCCCTCCCTTTTCTCGAGATGGCAGCCGGAGTGGGAGGACTCTTTTATGAATGGCCATTCAGTAAAATATGCGTGAAACAAGTGCCGAAATTATGAATGTGAGCGTGTGTGGAAAAGTTGGGAAAATATTGAAGAGTTTGTTTTTCGGGGAAAGGAATCGATTTCTAAGCCGAGTACTTCGAGCGTCTAATGTATCGTTTAATAATGTTCCTTTGACAGCCGTCACCCATACTTTTACTCGGGCCTTTGTCCGATATGTCATCTAGATGAAAGGATATTGTATTGTATAGATAAAAGTATAATGTACAATTTGCAGACTTTTTAAGACGAGGTTTAGTGACCTCATTTCTTTTTTTACCCAAAAACCTTAAAAATATCATTTTCATTGGCGAAATAAAACAATTTAAACTTTTCTAAACGTGAAGCTGGCATATTCTAGATATGATTCTAATTAATGGGCAATTTCGGAAATTTTTCCCAGCCCCTTTAGACTCTTATAGACACTTTTCTTATCGCATCGCCCCAAAACACGCCGCCAGCTTTTGGCAAATGACAAATGTCTGTCAGTTGAGCCGAGACGAGCTGAGCTCATTAGACATTTTCGCTGGGACTCCGGCGCAGAGGGTTCTTGTTTCAGTCCGTTTCAAAGCTGCACCCGAATAATACGTACTGGTACTCAAACCCAACCCCCTTCGGATTCCCTGCTGGCCATTGAAGTTGTCAATTTGAGCGACGCCGCCTTTGTCCGCCTTTGTGTTGGGCAATAAAAAATTTTATAACTACGTGATTTTGACTAAGTAACACGCCCGTCCGCCGAGGGGAGGACTTTTGCCTTTGTCAGCAATAAAACCCCTGTCGAGGGTTGGCTGCCGGCTGATTGACACGCGATGAAGGGTCTCCGGGGCGAAAGGAGCTTACAACTAATTGTCTCCGTTCTGAAATCTCAGTGGCGGAACTTCGGGGGCTTCGCCTCGCTTCGATTAAACGTACCCGAGGCTCCCCGGTAATTAGTAGTTTCTGTTAATTGTGCGGCTCACTTTTGGGTCTGCTAATTTGACGATTGCCCTTGCCCCGAGGAGTTCGCCGGTTTCCCCCGAACTTCCTACACTTTGTAAGGCTAAACGCCTTTGTCTCCATCATCATCGCATTTTTCTTCAGCCTGGTCGCCACTTGGCAACTTATTGTTATGATATCCGGTGGCAGACAAAGGACCTGCTACCTGGCCGCATACTTTTGGGCACATGTCAGGGAAAATTGTTATTTATACCGTAACATGAACAGCGCCATAAAGTACGCCGCACAAAGGACGCCCTGAAATTTAAAGCCAGCCCCCGGCAAGGAAAGTGGAAAATATGCGAGTGTGTGCGTCCTCCAGCCCCCTCCCCCTTCACCATCCTCCTTGAAAATTAGAATGGAGCATCGTTATGGCCTCTTCCCGCCCCCGGAAACGAGCATAAAATATATGTATTTATGAATTTGCGGCAAAGAAGATTGCAGCGCAGGCAATTTTCCAGCTAGCTGAGCAGCGATTTTCACTTTTAGTTGGCATCAAAACGGAAGTGACAACTCATTGCGGAGTGACTCAGGTGTTCGCATCGCGTCAGCAATTTGTTGCTGGCTCTGTCATTGAAATATTGTCACATTTGACAATTGCCAACAGTCCTGGGATTCGCACAGCGCCAAAATGGCGGTTTGAAAATAAACGATTCAATGGTTTGGCCTTCAATATTTAATATTCGAAATATACATCAATTTAAAATATTTTTTGATGAAAATTTAAGAGAAAATTATATTTATGTTCTTTTATAAACTGAATTATACAAATAGAAAATAAAATAAAACAAAATAAGCAATAAATCGACGAACTTTTGAATAACAAATATAATCACATAAATAATACATTATTAAAACCTATCAGTATTATTCTCCGTGTACGCTTAGGCCGCATGTGGTCTGAAGTTTGCAGCCCTAACTGACGGCTTCTGCTTTGTGTCCTTTATCTTTTCAGTCGATTCGGTGGATGTGACCTCGGAGCCGGATGATCAGGATGTTTCCGTGGCAGCTGCCTCGCACAATCCCAACAAGGGCCAGCTGGAAGTGCAGTTGGGCGGAGCGGTAACCCTGCAGTGTCCTCAAGGTAGGCAGAATGAATGGCCAACTACCAATTTACCGTTGGCCAAAAACTTCAAAGGAAACAAGCTTATTGGGCGGGAGCTCGTGGCCCATTTAGAATGACAAATGCGTCTAGGCCGTAATTACATTTTACATTTTACTTTCGTTCGATCCAAACGAAACGAAACGAAACGAGTGGTGGCCTTTTGAACGCCTCTTCATTAATTAGCGCAATTGGAAATTAATTATGCGTGCAATTTACTTTGCTCACTTTTGGCCAAATGGCGAAGATAGACAAATGGCTCGGCGTCCGTGGGAGTGACGCATCAATTAAAGAAATTAAAACTTGCGTGCCGAGAACCCTGGAAGTCAATTAATTAAATTATGCCCTGGCTTTCATCCTTCCCCTCCGTCTACCTCGTTTTAGGCTCCCTCGGCTGCTGGTCGCACTTGGACCCCATTTCGGCCCGGTTGCGTGGCCTTGGCTATGGCAGCAGCCAGCCAACGGGCCAGTTCTCCCTGAAGGACGTCATGTACCAGGACGCGGGCATGTACAAGTGTGTGGGCCAATCGCCCACCAACAAGAAGAAGCTGGAGGTCCTGCAGAGCGTCACGGTCTCCGTGAAGGGTAAGTGAAATGAGAGACTATCTAGACACTAAGATGTTTTACGATGTTTTATCTAGCCTCTAAGATGTTTTACGATGTTTTATTTTCAAAAGCATATCCGAATATTTTATATTACTATTTCTTTCTTTTATAAATACGCTATTTAGACGCTCTTTAAGCTATGGCCTGATAAATTATATTATGTACTTGGTTTTTAACTCGAATAAACATATGCCGAAGGAGTGGTAATATTGTCAAAATATGTTTAAGGATAAATATTGGAATCGAATTGCTTTGCAATCAAGATTGTACTGGGGCCTTGTTGGAACGTCTCATAGTCAACGTTAAAATGGCGAAATAAGTAGTTGATGTAAAATATAAATTTAATTTTTATTTGTATTGAAGTTGTGTGAACGGCAAAAGCTTCATAAATGTTTAAAGCAGGCATTTGAATAGCTAGATATAATTGGTATTTTTTAAAATCAAAGATATAGCTGGCCTCATAATTCGTTTCAGTCACCTGAGAGTTAGTCACACTTCTCTAAGAATCCCCTAGGTCACCAGAGGGACCCGGCAGTCCAATCAACGAAGTGAAGCTGCAGCTCCTGAAAATTGGGTGTGGCCCAGTTTCGGCTGACTTTTTCGAGGAGGGGTCCTTTTGTGGGCGATGGGTGGTTTTTCCGAATGGGTGGCTGCTCAGGTGACAGCGAGGAGTTAAAAACATTAAAAACTTTGACAGCAGTTTCGGGACACGGCAGAGCCAAGGAAAACAAATGAAAAGTTTTATTTTCTTGCTGTCAGAAGTTCGACATTTTACTTTGCATGTGATTTTCCCCAACGATTCCACCGTTTTCCCCCGCTTTCCTCAGCTTTCCCCGCTCCTGAGCTTTCTGTTCTCGGGCTCTTTTATAGTCGGGCTTATCGGTCGTTCTCTTGTCGCATTGACACTTGTCAAAATCTTTGCCTGGGCGTGTGGAAAACGACGCATGATTGATGACATTGCGAAAGGCAATTCCAATCAGCTTGCGCACTTCCTCCTGCCTCCTGCCAGATGTATTAAGTATACGATAGACGAGTGTACGGGAATTTGAGAGAAAAATTGGAAATCATGCTGCCGGAAATTAAGGAAAATGCGTTTGCTTTGACTTCACATCACCTCCAGTTGTCTACTGCCAGCAAAGCGCATTAAGTTGTCTTGAGGCAAAAGCCAAGTGGACATTGAGACAATAAAACTTGCCAAGTGGTCGAGGGGTTTCGGAGGTGGACATAGAGATGGAGATCGAGGGGCTTCTGCCAGGAGCAGGACGAGTTGAGGACCTGGCCAAGCTTACCCTCGAGTGCAATCCAAACATGAAACAGCTCAGCTCGGCTCACACAGTGGCTCCTAGATCTCCGGACGAGCGAAGCCAAGCAATCAAACAAAGTCCTTGCCCGAGAACCGAAAAGGGGGCGGTGGTGGGTGGGCGTGGGATAGTCGATGTGGATGTCTGTGTTCTACACGAAATGGAGACACTTATAATGCTCCCGCATGCAATTTCAAGGTAAGACAGTTTGTCATTAAAACTGCGAAATTGAGTGCTAGATAAACAAAATACCAGGCAGCCGGGAAAGTGGAAAACTGGGATGAGGGTGAGTGGGGGTGAGTAAGGGTGCTCGGAATGGAGCAAGCGTGGCTGCTAACACTTAACGCAAATAAACAACGAAGGGGGTTTTGCGATGGGAAGCGTGAAATAGTCATATTTATCAAAAGGCAGACTGCAAACGGTTTCCCAGGCTTCCAGTCAAAGTCGTCAGGATAACAGAGAAGCCGAGCGAGCGAGAGGGTTGAATACAGAGAAAAAATTGCAGAGATAGGGCAGCCATACAATAGATTAAATTCAAAGCCCAGCAGCAAAGAACGAAGAAAGTACTCCGCATTTAGGAGTTGTGTGTGTCTGCCAAGATAGCTTGGGATGCTTTAGTTACTTCCACTATTTGTGTTTGCTTGTAAAATTAAACAAAATACAAAGAGCAACTACGAAAAAGTTGTCTTCGACTGTCTGCAAAGTTTCGCATTTCTTTGAAACGAAAAAAAAGCACAGGAAAAAATGTCTCGATTGTCGTTTATACAGCTCACTGGACAAAATTATGCTTTTAATAATAGCATTTACAATTGTTACTATCGTAAACTGTTCAGGAACTATTTACAGATAAACTGGAACTTTATGGGCTCAATAAAGCAAGAAATAAAACTTACACAAATTCTTTAAGTATTCTTTGAATCTCTTCCAATAATACTCTTAGTACTTTTATTTAAATTCTTAAAGATGGGTTAACTTTATATTGGCTTTCTTTAATTTTTTTAACATTTTCTAAAATCAATTGTTAATTTTTTTAAATTATTTATTACATTTGAAAATTTATAAATCTACAATTATTTCTTTCAACCCATCATAAAAGAAGGGAATTCTTTTAGCTTCATCATGAGAATCCCACCAATAGAACCTCATAATCGCTCCTCAACCCGTGAGCTGCACTGATTACCTGTCCATAATTACCAAGTCAAATGGAGAAGGCCAAAAAGCGATGACAAAGGGATTACTACGGCCTCAATCATTTGCTTCGTTGACATTTTTGATTAGTCCGAGCGCAGGGCGGTCGTTTTGCAGGGGGTCTGGGGGTCTTCATTATGCATATGAAAGTTTTATGCACCCCCTATTGTTTTCCTCGGCTCTCCTAATGAACTCGTGACTTAAAATTGCAGCCTGTGTTGCCTTTACGCTTCGTTTAAGCCAAGAAAAAAGCTGGCGGTGGGCGGAAATTATGCAACAAATAAGAAGCGAAGCTGCCTGCACCTACTTGCATATGCAGCTACTTGAGAAGCGGGCTGTGAGTAAAATAAATGTGCATATGAATTTTGAAGAAAGCCAAAGGATTCGCGGCGGCCCCAATGCAAAGTGCACTTACTTACCCACACACACACACCCCTACGGAGTATCTGTGTGCGCCCAAATTTATGCTTGTGTTAAAGTTTAGTGCGTGTGCTGGGCAAAAAGTTTTGCAGCAAGAACTTGAGCAACAGCAGCTGCAAAAATGTTCAGCACTCACACAAATTAAATAACAATTTTCTCTCACAATTTCGCCATCTTTTTTGGTTTCTTTTTGCCCTCGTTCACTGTCGTTAACTTTATGTGGGCGTTTTCTTGTTGACAGTGTGTGTGTGTGGGCGGAGAAGGCGTGGCCGGCTATGCATATGTTAACTGGCAGTTGGCAAAAGTAGCTCAGTAGTCGACTTTGCCTGCTCGCCAGCGTTTTTTCTCCCCGTTATGCATTGCAATTTTAAGTAATTTAAACAAATGCTGCGAAAAGTTGTGGCAAAGTAGATTTTAATAAGAAATAACCATAAATGGACTGCCATTAAAGCCAGCTGACATGCAGTCGACCGTTTCCCAAGATTGACACCATGATAAACTAAGAGTAGGTGTAGGGTTGTGTAAACCATCGACCATTTTGGCTTTATAAAATAAATAAAAAAAATATTCAAAAAACGTTCGTAAAATACCGTCTTGTTATCAACAAAAACATGTAAAATAAAATTTAAATTAAATAAAAAATGTAAAGCTGAGCGATACTATTGATAATGGGACAAAGCCATTCTAATTTTAAAACAAGAGAGAACGCTATAGTCGGGTTCGTGTCCCGACTATCTAATACCGTCACTCAGCTAACGGGAGTGCAAACGCTGTACTCGGGTTGGTGTCCCGACTAATAATCGAAATTCAGCTAAAGGGAGTGCGAGGGAGATAGATATAGAAATTTTGATTGCGTATAACTTTTTAATGAATGGTCCGATTTGAAAAATATCTTCTACATTTCGATAGGTATAAATATGCACAACAAAATTGCATTTATACTTCTCGGAAATCTTTAAAGGTTTGGGCGCCAGACACATTTTAAAATCGTTAGTGGGCGATTGTGGGCGTTAGAGGGGGCGTGGCGCTCGGTTGAAATAAACTTGCGCTGCGTAGGAAGCCCAAAAATATGCGTGGAAAATCTCAACCTTCTAGCTTTTGTAGTTTCCGAGATCTCAGCGTTCATACAGCCAGACAGACGGACAGACAGACGGACAGACGGACATGGCTAAATCGACTCAGCTAGTGATCCTGATCAAGAATATATATAGTTTATAGGGTCGGAAACGCTCCCTTCTACCTGTTACATACTTTTGCACGAATCTAATATACCCTTTTACTCTACGAGTAACGAGTATAACTATCGAAAGTATCGATAGCGCTATTGATCGTATAAACAACCCGAATTAGGTATTTCTTATTTTAAAGAACGAACTCCTTTTAATCCCAGTTTTCTTTTTCTAAATCCCATTGACTACAACATTAACTTATATTATAGCATCCATCTTGTCAACCTTATTGCATTCCCTTTGCTTAATGCCAAGCTTGCTCTTAATGATTATTTGCGGAATTTTTATTAGAGACCCCAGAAACCAAGGAACCAAAAGCGGAAGAGCTGTCTGAAGTACAATGAGACCCGAGTTCGGCCTGTTTTAATAAAAGCTTTTCCACGCATATTCCACGCTTAATTTAGACCAAGAAACGCGGGCCAACCCATCGCAGCTCCCCTCAAGCGATACGAGAACATAAATATTGCTTTATGCCCTGGCACACTCGAGTAGCCCCGCCCACTTCTGGCCATTCCATTCTCGGCCCTGTTTTATGCATGCTAATTTGTAATATGCATGTTCCTCGCTTTTGATCAACGCATGAGGAGGAAATATTTTCGCATTTTTCCATTTTCCATGCGTAATTTTTCTTCTTGGCAAATTTGCTTTCGGAATTTGGCGCGTTTGCCAGCAAATATTGCTTTGTTTCTACTCATTAGGTTTGGAGTTCGGGGTTGGCAATTTTGTTCTCTTCTTTTTTTTTTTTTGGTGTTCCCTTTCATAAAATATGCGAATGAGAATTTTTTTTGGCCTCCCCTTGCTTTTCATTTGTGCCTCATTTAAATGGCAATTTATTGCGCCC